GCACACGACAAATTTGATGGATGATTTTGGGATTTTAGCAACCTTTATCTAAATGCCACTCTCAAATAAATCAACATTGTCCACATGAATGAGGATGAAAGTGTTGGCACCAACATTTGAACTCACGAAGAGAGCTAGAAGCCATTGAGAACCAACAATCTTCAGCCACTATCAATAAATATTGTAACCTAATTATTGTTATATGATTGTCGTTGTCATATAATTATGTCCAACTTGTTATTACCTAAAAATTGTTATTAACATTAATGTCTGACGACTCTCCTTATATCAATAGAAGAACAAATGAATGTCCATAGTCCTATGATCTTATCTATTCCAATTAATAAGAAGAGTGAAATTCTATAATTTCAATTATACAAAAGAGAATATTGGCTTTGTCAAACCCCTTAGTATTTTGTGCTTTTGAATTTTTAAAACCCTTAAGTATTTCTCTTTTCAGATATCTCATAAATCTTTTATTTGTATACAATGGATAACCTTATTAATCTTAATTATGATTTTCTGAATCATAGGGAATGATCTTGCACACTACAATTAAATAGAACACTATTTTTAAATTGAATTCTTAAAACTAGTAACATTTCATTAAAGCTAGGTCAAAAAAAAAAAAAAAATCAAGACATCAAAGACATAAAAACTCAAAACAGAATATTAACCTATTATTTAGGATAACCCTTTTAATGCAAAAAAAAAAATAAAAATAAAAATAAAAATTAAGCAAATGATAAGAAAACATGCATGCCGAAAATGACGGCAATTAGGATAACTTCATTAATTATGAAGTATAAAATTCAAACTTTTACCATTCCACAAATTTCCATCTTGTTATTTTTAAACCTATGGTGCTGTGGAATGCTTAGGTGCTGTGGAATGCTTGAGGACTTGATCATGCAGTAGCATCGGTAGCTTTACTGCCATTTTTGCCATTGGCCATCTCAACCGTGGCGGCGCCATGAACGTCTTTATCCGAAATGAACCGGCCCCAGAACCAGTGCGCTTTCCAGACGAGCACCATCTCCTCGATGGGAACTCCCTTCGTCTCCGGAAGAAAGATGGCGATAAATACAGTCATAATCAACACCCAACCGCCAAAAAAATAGAACAGCCCGAACTTAAGCCTACAGAGAAGAGTCAGAAACGCCTGCGCAATAACGAACGTAAACAGCATGTTCATAGAAACCGTAATGCTCTGCCCAGCAGATCGTATCTCTAACGGGAAAATTTCCGATGGCACCAACCACCCCAGCGGCCCCCACGACCACGCGAACCCAGCCACGTAGATGCAGATGAACGCCACCACCGCAGCGGAGTAGCTCTTGCTCATGTGACCCTCACCGGAAGTCCCAAACTTGGCGGCGATGAGAGTGCCAACGATTATCTGGCAAATGAACATCTGTACGCCGCCCTGCAAAAAAAGCTTGCGGCGGCCGAGGCGATCAACGGTAAAGATAGAGACGAGCGTGGCAAACACGTTGACGAGGCCAGTGATGACAGCTGACATGAGCGAGGCGTCGCTTCCAAAACCGATGGTTTTGAATAAAACAGGTGCGTAGAACATGATGACGTTGATTCCGGTAAGCTGCTGGAAAAAAGGAATTAAGATGGCCATTGTGAGCTGCGGGAGGTAACGGCGACGGGTGATGTTGTGCCATGGTCGTTCGATTGTGTTCGACTCCTTGCTTGCAGCTTTGATGTCGGCATACTCTTGCTGGATGTCGTCGGTGCCGCGGATTCTGCGAAGCATGGTGCGGGCTTGTTCTTCGTGGCCGCGTTCGAGAAGGGAGTTGGGGGTGTCGGGGAGGATGAGGGAGCCGACGGTGATGATGGCGGCCGGGACGCCGGCGAGGGCGAGGCCATAACCTGCTTTGATCTTGGCGGTGCGATAGTTGATCAGGTTTGCAGCGAGGATGCCAAGTGTGATCATGAGTTGGAAGCCGATGTTGAACATGCCTCGGAGTTTGGCTGGTGCGATTTCTGATAGATAGAGGGGGACCGACTGAGATTAAGGAGTGAGAGCTAAATTAGCGTCAAAATGATCATTTTTGCCACTCAAGTGAAGAGAAAGCTTCACCTTTGTGCTTAATGATGGGGAGGGGAAAGATTAGGTGGAATATTCTATTATTTAACATTTCTGCCCAATCGGTTTGCTTCGGATGATCCAAAGAGAAGAAAGGAAGTTAAAATGTTTTTAATGTTAAAATTGTCATTTAATTCACTTTGAATTAATATGAGTAAGACAGAACATAGGAGAGTATTTCACGAACTTGTTATAAGGTTTTATCAAATGTCTTTGGATTTTTATTTAAATGAACGAGAAATATGAAGTTTATGTTCAATTAATGAAGCATAATTTCTTGCAAATTTTTTTCTTCTTTAAAAAGGATTCAATAAAATTTCTTATTTGTGTTTTGAAGTTAGTTTATGTCAAACAAATCATTTTTTATAAGTCATTATTATTTATCAAAACTAAATTTATTATTATTATTATTATTATTTTTATTTTTTGGGAAGGATGATTTGAGATCACGTGAATGGTTGGGCATTTTTCCTGTGAAATTTTAGCCTGAGTTTAATGATTTTTTTCCTGCAAAACAATATTTTATTTTATAAAAAAGCATTTATTTATTTTTTATATTTGCCTTATAATTTCGAAGTAAATATATTATAATTTAAAAATTTATATTGTAGTCCAAAAGAATTTGCTCGTAGTGTTTTGATGAAATTTTTTTAGTGGTCGTTTATGTCATGGATAGCTCGTAATTATGGATTTTGACTTTTTAATTTCTCAGAAATGATCCCGTTCGGCGATGGAATTTTGTGGAAAAAAATTCAATCTATAAGAAGATAATAGTTCCTCATCATAGTTTTTTATGATATGTACACTATAAATTCAATATTATGGGGCATTTAAATACACAAATAAATATCGTTTCCATGCAATTCTTATGTTTTCACATATCAAACAATTAAAATTTTTATATTTACGATCTAAGCACTAACCATTTTAATTTCACATTAAAAATACTAACATTAATAATTATTTAAAAGTGAAATATTCATTTTCATAGGAAGATTTTTGATAAGAAAGGATTATAATTGAAAATACTAGAATTTGATGTTACATGTATTAATATACAAGAATGTTTAGTAAGTATCTAATTTTCCAAAATTTGAGTGGACGAAGAAAAAAAAAAGGTAGTTATTGAATTAGTAAGATGGCACAACCATAAATAATAAGAAGAAAAAAAATAATAAAATGAAACAAACACACACACACAGGCATAGAAAATCGGAATGAGTGAGAGGCAAGCGACCAAACCCTTAGAACAAGACTAGGCAGACAAACCAACTCTTAAAAAAGAAAAAATAGAAGACCCCGCAGAACCTTGAAAAAATTATATCTTTTTTCATAGAGAGAGGATATATCTGCTCACCTGGTTGGCGAAGCCTATACCAACGCCGAGAAAAATGCGGCCGAAGATGAGCATGGCAACGTTATTAGCTGCGCCATTAAGCGCAGCTCCGATGAGGAAGGTGATTCCACCGCCAAACATTGACCACTTGCGGCCGAAGGCCCGCGTCATCGTGGCCGCAAAGAAGGAAGAGATGAGCGCGGCGAGATAGAGGGATGATGTGAACGTCGTCAGCAGCTGGGAGTCAAACTTACAGTACTGATTCGTTCTTGTATCCTCCTTCTCCTTGCGGTACACCGACGGAAAGAACTTACGCAGAAATGAATCCATTGATGTCACCCCACCTACAAAGCCGAATATTCATATCGGGATCAATCGATTTGGATTTGGAGTGAAAACCAAAGCATCTGGGAGCTTCATATCTGGATTCTTACCAGAGATTCCGATGTCGTATCCGAAGATGAGGCCGCCGGTGGCTGCCACAAGGCAGGCGAAGAAAACGAACATTGTCATCTTCCCCGGATACTCCTTCACATTGCCGGCAGGGTTCGCAATTGCTCCTCCCGCCATCGCCGGGAAGAAAATGAAGGATGCGAGGGAATGTTTTGAGAAGGCCGTTGATCGATCGGAAGGGTTGTGCGCTATTTATAAGGAGAAATACTGTGATCACTTAAAAAATGAATAGTGGCATTTACGTAATTAAGGTATGATGAGAGAGCTAGTAGATGCCAGTGAGTATGGCCATGTCAATATATAAATACCAACCAATTTCTTTGTATTTACATATCTAACACCTGATATTTTCTCTTACATTATACCACTGAAATCTTTCGTATCACCTAGAAAATAATCACCTTAACTTTTAAAATGTGAAACATCCATAAGAATGATGGCTTGCATATCAAAATTGAAATTTAGAATATATTAATACATATAAATTGAGTGGTATGATGTAAATCTTCCTAAATTATAATTTTTACATTGTCTATCCTAAAATATTATAAAATTATGTCTCTAAAAACTAATAAAATGATATAATCTTGAAATTAGTTGCTATAATAACTTGTGATTTATAAAATTTGATAAAAATATTTTGGGTGCGTCTTTCATATCATATAATACTTCGCTTACCTTTCACCTTGTATTGGTGATAACCCATCGTGCTTATGTCTCTCTAGATTTCTCTTATATACCCTCTCGGGCACTTCCTCTTCCTTGCCACTTTGATTTCTCTTTTGCTAGTATTACTTCTTATTCATTATTTAGACGTCATCCATGCTAACCTGACGAATGGGTCCTGGTTACAGAGCTCGCGAGTAGAGTGGAGCGAAAACGTTTACCCAATCAGGGGAGTTTCGTTGTGTGGGTTGGGGGTGCGGGGACAATGCCCAGCAGTACGGTACACTGGTAATTTTGTAATTAAATATTGTATGCCAGAGTTATATATATATATATATATATATATGAAGATCTTGTGATTATATGAAGATCTTGATAAGCATTGTAGAGGACGTAACATGGTTTTTAAACTTGATATTAAAAAAGTTTTGATACCGTCATTTGGGATTTCATTCTTAACATTCTTCATGCAAAAAGTTTCAAATAGGATTTCTGTTCCCTTATCAAATGATGGTTAGCTAACAATCACTACAGTGTTCTCGTCAATGGCAAAGCTCATGGTTTCTTCTCGGCTTCTAGAGGCATTAAACAGGGAGACCCTCTCTCCCCTACTATTTTTATTATTGCTTTTGACTATCTCTCGAGGCTTATAAACAGGCTGCATCAAACACATCCTCATTTCCAATACTCTCATAAATAAAAAACTCTTATTAGTCACATTGCCTATGCGGATGATGTCATTTTATTTTCTAATGCCAGTAAACCTACTATTAAAGCAATGATGACTCTGCTTAAAGAGTTTCAGGATGCCTCTGACCTTCTTTTTAACTTGGCTAAATGCACTATTTATTTTGGCAACAAGGTGAATAACAACATTGAAAATTGGGCCTCTGATTACACCGGGTGTAAGGTTTCAAAGCTACCTTTAAAATACCTCGGGGTTAATCTACTCAGGGGAAGGAAAAAACTAACTCAGATGGATGATGTTGTGGATAATATTAAATCAAATATCAATGATTGGAGAAATACTTTTTTGTCTAATGGTGGAAGGCTTACTCTTCTTAAAAATGTTTTATGTAGCAATCCCTTATACTCTATGCAGGTGCTAAAAATTAAGAAGTCTACCCAATCTACTCTTGATGTTCTATTTAATAAATTCCTTTGGCGGGGGAATAGATCTTCTAAGATTTAGGCTAAATGAAAGAAGGTTTGTAAAGCTACTATCTCTGGGGGGGCTTGGGATTAAAAACCTTAAGGAAATGATTGATATAAACATGTGTAAGCTTTGGTACAAATTGAGATCTCCAGATTCTTTATGGGTTCAATTTCCTCATCATAAATATTGCATGAATACTCATCCTTCTGTTGTGTCCTGGAAAGTAGGAGACTCTACAATTTGAAAAGCTATCACTCTTGCTCGTGAGATGGCTTCTCATTTCATTTTTTGGGATGTGGGAGAGGGGAAAATTTCATTTTGGAATGATCATTGGGGTTCTACTCCTTTGTTGAGATTGCCTCATGCTACTAATGATGATGATCTTCTTGTTAGGAATTTTTGGATTGATTGCAACCGGAACATACCCAAACTATGGTCTCTAATTGGTGAAAGTTCTTCCTTAGTTGCAACTATTCCACGTAAAACTGAATCTAGAGATGTTCCTATGTGGAAATCCCATGCTACAGTTTCTACTACTAAGATGCTTTACACTAATTTATACACTTACCCTCAGTGGATTTGGTGTAAGTATATTTGGCACCATTTTATCTCTCCCTCTATCTCTTTATTCATTTGGAGATTGTTCCATAATCTACTTCCCCTTGATGATATTTTGAAGATGAAAGGTTTGAAAATTGCATCGTTTTGCTATATTTCAAAGAAGGAAGCATAATCCCCCACTCATTTACTTTATGAATGTGATTTTTCTAGAGAAGTATGGCATCGTTTTGGGAACTATTTTGGTATAAGATGGCCTGCAAATTTCTATCTAAAAAGCATTCTTCAAACTTGGAAAAACTCTGAAAAATATCATACAAAGCTCTTCTACTTTTCGATGATTGTTCTTGGGTTTATTTGGGTGGAAAGAAATAACCATAAATATGAGGACTCTCCTCATACACCTTATAATCTATTTGTACTCATTGGGGCTAACTTTCTTAGAGCCACTAAAGCTATGGGAAGTGTCAATATTACTCCTCAACCAGGGAACAATCGGAGGCCAATGTTGATTAATTGGACTCCACCTTCTCATGATTGGATTAAAGTTAACATTGATGACAGCTTAAATGGTACCAATGCTAGATTGGAGGCTTGTTCAGGGATGCCAATTGGAAATCCATTGTTTTCCTTGCTTCCCCTTGTGTTGCTTCTTCTCCTCTTGAAAAAGAAACAAGGGTTTCTTTTGGTGCTTTACAAATTGCAATTTCATATGGACTTTCTCACATTATTCTTGAAACTGATTCTTTAGTTTTATTTTAAATCTTAATGGGCTTTCTTAAGCCTGATTGGAATATTACTATCTTACTCAACCGATATGGTAATTAAATATCATTTTCAAATTTAATATGCATTCATTAACGGTGAGGGGAATAGGCCTGCAGATTGGTTAGCTAAGAAGGGGCATCTTGGTATCATTATAGGAGAAAATCCTACTCGCCCTTTTTATAATCTCATTCTTCGTGATGTTTGGTTGCACCTTATATACGAGTTTAACTTTTATCTTAACAGCCTTTGGTTGGAGGCTACGGGATGGTTGTACAATGCTATTCTTAAATGTTTTCTTTCTTTCACTTTCACCTTTATTTGGAGTAGTGCTTTTATTACAAAGATAGGCAGAAGATTCTCCTTTTTTACTACTCTGAACTTTTGGAGGCCAATGGCTCCATTTCATTCGAGTCATGATGTGGTTTTTGAGAATCTGGGGTTCTTTATGCTGAGCATTATAATTGTGTTTGGAGGCTCGTGGATCCGTTTGTTGGTTTTGGATAATCAATCTATTAAGTTTCAAATGTTTCTTTCTTCCTCTTGCGGTTCCTACTTAGGCAGGCTCTACTACTTCATTTTGTTCATTTCTATGGAGGCATGGATTAAGTTTTCCTTTAAATGGTAGTGGCTTCATTTGACTCCAATTTTTTGGAACAAGTTTTAGGCTCTCATTTGGAAACTGCTGACTTTACTATTTTAAGCTATATCTTTGTTGTTAGAGGCCCATGGCTCCAGCTTCTGGTGTGGGACTGGCAGTGGATTATGCTGATTTTATCTCACTGTCTGGACTGCTTACAGACTGAGGTGTCTTGGCTAAAATTTATGTGTTTAGAGCTTAAGTTTGGAGCAATTTCTTTTATTACAAAGATGGTGTTTCAAGTTGCGTTCTCTGAGCTTCACTTATCTATATATTTTGGATACATTTTTTATAAGTCCAATGAGGAAATTGTTGGCTGCCTGTGGAATAGTTTACTTCTCTAATCTATCAATTTAGTCTTAACTCATATAATATCCACTTTTATCTCAAGCAGGAACCTTAGGGTTTTTATTGTCCTCTATGTGTTGCTGCCTTATCTTCTCACTGTCTTTTTTGCAAAGCCAACTGTAGTTTATTTATTGCTCTTAGTTGAATGTTTTTTGGGAAGCATTGGTGCTTTAATGCCCTGGACCTTACTTTGGTGGCCCATGGCACCTAATACTAAACCCAAATTTGGCTTTTTCTTGATACATTTTATTACAATTTTAATCTGCCACCATTTTGTTTCTAACTTTCATCACAGGTCCTGCTTTCTGGCATTTCACAGATTTATATTGCTAATTGTAAGGCTCATGCTACTCCTTTTGATGTCTTTTTGGCTTTGCAACTCTCAAGCTTGATTTTGCACTATTTTGTACATGTTACGGCGGGGTTTATGAATTTTTTTTGGTATGCTTTTGTTTTGGATACATGTAATTTTGGAGTTTTTTTCTTGTTTCTCTCTCTCTCTGTTGTGTGGAGTTGTAATGTGTGAAAATGAACCCCTAGGATGATATGTTTTTCATTTTCTTTTAGTGGGTATCCTTTTTCCGTCCTTTTTGTAACCTCCTTTTTTTTTAATGTGTAAGGAGCCACAAGATGCTCTTTTATTATATATATGGATCTTTTATACTTTTTTTGAATTAAAAAAATGTCGCTTATTTGCTCCTGAGGACATATGCATCTTTGACGAACCTCGTTTAATCTATATGTTTTCTTTCTGGATTTGTGTCGATTCTTGTTTTTTTTTGTCCTAAGATTCTCAACAATTGGTATCAGATCGAAGTTCTAAAACTGACGAGATCAACACAGTAAGGACAAAAAAGGATTTGACGATTTGGCAGAAAAGATTGGCTAGGGTTCGGGTTGTTCGGCGTAGGATGAGCACAAAAATCTGCGAATCACGACATTTACGACTATGGCTAAGGAGTTCGGTGACGTAGAGAGTTTTTG